GCATCTTTCTCTTGAACCGGTGTTCTTAATTGCAATTTCATTCTGCATGGCATCTCTGACTTTGTGTGTGAATGACAATAAAGCTGATTCTGATTATGGCCATGGCCATGGTGCAACGCACATCCACAGATGAGCATTTTGCAACAAAATAAACTGTTTGAAATACAGATTAAATCAAGATAAAAGGAATAGCAAGCATTCCTTAAAATAATGCATATTGCCTACTGGCTTTGATGACAGTTTTAACTCGAGATGTCCACCACAGACAGCCACATTTAGGAAAATGTGTTCAGTGTATGCGCTGAGGATGTCTCTGTAACTGCTACTCCTTAAACTTCACCTCATTATCTGTAATTATGAGTAAATTGTGGCTGTCTGTGTTGGCAGAGTTAGATTAGCTGTGGCAGCCATTTCAAAACAGACTGACTCAAATTGTCAGTTAATTATAGATATATATCAATTTATTATGTCCTGAAAGTGTCTTTAAAGAATAAAGGTTCAGAAGATATTTTGCTAACCGACTGTTAATCAAAGTGTTGCAGTAGGGATGACTCCCAGCTACTACTCCTTCTTCTTGGTCAATATCCATAAATTCAACTGAGTTACTGTATACTTTAGCATTGATTAGCTTGATTTGGGTTGTCTCCAAACCTTAATCAGTTAAAGATGTACAGCCAAAGATTACTTTAAAAGTTTAATTAAAAACAGTGGTTCGTGCAATATCCTGCTAACAAATAAGCAAAGTTGACACAAACAATTAAAGCTAAAAAATTTTCAGGCCCATGAGGAACGCTAAATTTATTTGACTGTCTACCAAAGCACTTTAGCTTTATCAGCCTTTGCCGAAGCAGTTTTGACGTTGCCTCCACTCCTGCCGCCGCAGAAAAGCAATTACTCCGAGTCCCATTTAAACCGATACTACTTCTGCATCCACTTCTGCTCACACCCACACAAACCAATCCAGCACACCTGAGTCCGGAGCAATCAGGTCAGCCTGTCTGATTAGACTGAGGGCAGTGTGAGAGGACCAGCTGGTTGCGGAGGGGGAGAAAAAAAAGCCCTGAAGGAATTATTGACCCATCTCAACTCTCACCCCCTTGCTCGCACATAACACACCCAGGGCTGTGACCTGTGAAATTACTGCTCTGCTAGTGAGATTTGTTTCTGCAGGGCTTTATCAGCTCTTCAATGTGCCGTGAAGGCAGGTGAGGAGGTAGACAAAGAGAGGCTTGTAGAAGAAGACAAGCCTTGGGTACACATCTAAAACACTAGATTTGCAAACAGAATTATCATACTTAAATCCCACAACAGAGTGAATGTTTCTTAATTAGGTTGAAAGGTCATTTTTCAGTACTTTGGCAGTTTCTCCTTCAATCGTGCCATTTCTCTGCCAGAAAATTCTAGCCACTCCATCCTAATTATTGGATTTATTTTTGAATCCAAATTGTGACTTTTTTCCAAAGACAATATCATAATTACACGTCTACATGTTTCATGTCGTTCAAACATCCTCAGCAAAAAGAAAGGAATGAGAGTGAAACAATACAAAGGATTTAATAAGAAATGAAGTGGGGTGTCATTCATAACCCGGGCTGCTGAATATTTATGAGGGTGAAATAACACCCAATTAACTTTCCCTAATTATTTCATATTCATGATAGTTGCATCCCTGCGTTTGCTCTTTTGTTGAGGTGCCGCAGAGCTCTCCTGTGTGACGGACCAAAAACCTGAGTGTGTAGCAGCAGGGAGGAT